GATTTGAAGAAAAAAAATTGATTAAATTTCAAAATATGATTTGGAAAAATAGGGAACACGGAAAAGTTTTATAATGACAAAACAATTAAGAACAATGCTATGCATACCAAATATCTATATCAAATCATCGTATGCTTGACAAATCAAGGGCTATTTGCAATAGCATTAGTTTCTAGAAGTTTGGTGACTTCACTTTTTTTAAAAAAATATGTATGTACGTAGTTTATGTCTTTTGCCCGAAAATTTAGATTTAAAGAAGAAAATTTGATTAAATTTCAAAATATGATTTAGAAAAATAGGGAACATAGAAAAGTTTCATAATGACAAAACAATTAAGAACAATGTTATGCATACCAAATATCTATATCAAATCATCGTTTTCTTGACAAATTAGGGGCTATTTGCAATAACACCTATTTCTAGATGTTTGGCGACTTCACCTTTTTCTATAAAGATGTATACATGTAGTTTAGGTCTTTACTCGAAAATTTAGATTTGAAGAAGAAAATTTGATAAAATTTCAGAATATGATGTGGAAAAACAGGGGAACGCGGAAAAGTTTTATAATGACAAAAACATTAAGAACAATGCCATACATACCAAATGTTTACATCAAATCGTCATATACTTGACAAATTTGTAATAGCATTAGTTTCTAGATGTTTGGTGGCTTCACCTTTTTCTAAAAATATGCACGTACATAGTTTATGTCTTTGCCTAGAAATTTAAATGTAAAAAAGAAAATTTGATAAAATTTCGGAAAATAATTTGAAAAAACGGGGAACACGAAAAATTTAATAACGACAAAACAACTATGATATTAAGGGTATGCATACCAAATGTCTATATCACATCTACATCCCAAATTAAGGACCCATTAGGATTGGGCCATGAATCATGTCGTGGGTTTGGGATTTTTTCTGACAGGTTGAGACGACGAATAACTGGCCGAAATCAGAGTAAGTCGAGGATTAAGGCAGAAAAAACTAGGGACCAGTATGGCCCAGTGCCGACCCTTAATACTTCATGCAATGCATCGTCTGGAAACAAAGAATGATGAGTTTCTTCCTATTTCGATGGTGACATTGTGCTTTCCAGTGGACTCTCTCATAAACAAGCATTGATTTGAAAACCAACAGGATACATCAAACCAAATCAAGATGTAATTGAAAAAATTAGAACTAAAAACTTTGCTCCATTATATTTCAATTAAAAGATGTATAAATTACAGTAAACATTCGAATGGGCACTTAGGAGCCTGCAAGGCACCTACACTACATATGAGCTTATGGGTCCACTTTCTCTGAATAAACGAATCAAGTGTGGTCATCATCATCACAGTAAGCCCAGATCAAATCATAGAATGGGGACTCGAATACTCTTTTGAACTATATGCTTTCAATCTCAAATCAAACTATAAATATTTTTTTTCCCTTTACTCATAACATGTTGGTATTTTTTTTTTTTTTTCAAAACCTTGTAAGCCCTTTGACAAAATTGGTTATAACATAGCAATCTCTGGGAACGACCACTAGAGTTAGAGAATGACTATGCGAGTTATTGTGTTGTGAGAATTTTTCAGATTTGGTTTTGCAATTAATGATATGTGTTTGTCCAATCATTTTTATCACTATTGTCATTCTCACCCAAATAGTGCGAATTCTCACGATTCTCTCTTACACGATGCAACTAGATGAGATTGATGGAGAACCAAAAAATAAACTTCTGAATATGATCATCTAAAAAATTACACTTTTTTTTCTAAGAAAAGAAAAAATTTCATTATACACAAAAACCAGTAATTACAAGAAACAAAAGGAAAACCATAAATGGCCTATTATTTTTAGAAAAACTAAACAAAACAAAAACCATGCTAAACTCGACAGAAGCTCCACCTCTTCATACACTTCCAGCTTGCATCAACAGCAACACAGCAGCATACCACACAATAAAAGGCAGGCAGTAAAGCCAAAAGCCAATGTCTTCAACACATCATCTCCGTAACTCTTGTTCAAACAAATCAACACTATACCATAAGGCAAAAAACACCACCTCACATCAACCCTGATCATCAAAAACCACCCTTCTCCTCTTACGGCCATTCGCACTTCAAAAGGCAACCTCACATCAACAGAAAAATCATGCAAGTCTATCAGCCACAAAATTGGACTCTCTAAAAACATGAACCAGCCTATACTTCAATCTACTCAAAAAATCTCTGATCCGTCTCATAAAAACCAGACAAGGTCAAGGACATAAAGCCCTGAACTCAACAATCATACTTGAACTTTCCGCCATAGAAAAAAAACGCTGCTAGGACCATTTTACCTATTCATTCCTCACAGGATAGCCCACCTGGGTTATATTTAGACGCCTCATCAGTATTAAGCTTCAACATACCAAGGAGGATAGTTCCATTTAACCCAAACCCCTGACAAGATAACAGAACATGAGAATATGTGAAAAATTACACTAAATCATCAAATATTCTCTCGATCCGTTTATATTTTGTTTGTGTGTGAAATTTATAGGATTCATCATTTGCAAATCAAGTAGATTTTGAATATGAGGAACTGATTATGGAATATTTTAGATGGCTGTTTGAGTTGACGAATATTGCGTTTAATATTCATTACGTCTGAGATAATTTGCGGATGGTTGTGAAGCTCAAAAGATTGCAAGAATAAATAGTACTACTGGTCGGAAAAACTAGTTCAAATCACAAACTAGCAAAATTTTTAGGTATTCTCACGCCACCACATTGTATCTATACTTCCGCATGTGCCTTCAGTGTCTGTTATAAGGCGAACTCACTCTTATTTATACAGATTTAGCCATAAAATGAATGTTTAGGATATTTCCAAGTGTTTTAGATTGATGATGCTTTTAGGATTTTCTATGAAAATATATAAATATTTATTCTACAAGTATGTTCTGGATTTTTTTGCTTCTTCCTATCTCTCTAGTATTCGCTAGAATATTTTTTCAAGGAGGTTCAAGATAAGGAACCCATAGTCTAGGGTTCTCTTGAACCTTCTTGAAACGGGAAGTGACACACTAGACTAGCTCGTCATTGCTTCACTGCACGCATGCTCTTACATTGCTCCTCTAAAATCATATATTAAACTCAGTCCGAACATCAACTGACAAAGAGATCAAATTAATAGGTCACTAGTTCAATCGGTGAGTTAATCAGTCAAACTGACCACTAAGAATTCTACCAAAAAGAATCGAAATTGGAAAACAGTAAAAATTGAAGATCAAGAGACACCGATTATTAAACACTTTAAATATTTAGAGTTTGTTATTCATAAAGAGATTGATGGCGATGTTAACTTTAGAATTAATGCAAGATGCACTAAATGGTGCAATGCATCTGATGTATTGTAGAATAGGCAAATGTCTCTTAAGCTAAAAGAAAAACTATATGGAATAGTTGTAAAACCCACTATGCTTTATGGAACTAAGTGTTGGACAACTAAGAAACGATACATTTAAAAGTTGAATGTGGCGAAAATGATAATGTTAATATGAATATCAGATAAAACTAGGAATTATAGAATTATGAACAAATATATCCATCAAAAAAGTAGACATAGCATGCATAGAAGATAAATAAAGAGAGAATTAACTTAGACAGGTTGGACATCTTTATAGGCAGCCTACTACGATAACGGTGATAAGAAAATATTACAGCTATTGACAGTTAAAATTAATTTTATATAAAATAATAAAAAAAAATTGATAACTTATAATTTAACAGCAAATATTTCTTTTAATACAGCATAATAGCAAAATATGATTCATGTTTAACTAATTTTTAAAACTTTTCGCGTGGACTATAATGTTGAACTATTCTAATCATTGTGTGTGTTAGTTGAAATTCTTGATTCGAGCGTGAAAGAGGAATAATGTATAATTCAAGCGATCCTGAAAACAATCAAACAAGAAATGAAGGTAAATATGATTACAACTTGAATCCAACTTTTATTTTTTCCAAAGAAAACAGTAGTTTCCTGGCTCATCTATATTATATCTTTCTTTTTTTCATTTTTTTGGGGTTTTTTAGGCCATAATATTTTTTATTTTTTTAAATTATTATTTATGCAATCGAATCTTTTAAAATACCATAGTAATGCAATCTTCCTTCATGTCAAGTATAAATTTATTGGGACCATATGTCCCAAAGTATTTATGATATTAATATAATTGTATAGTAATAACTCCGTGTCTAAAAACATTACTATGAAGATATAATTGTATAGCAATAATCTCATATCATTTGACATTACTATGTTCCTCTAGTTCTTCAAAATAGTTTGGTAAACAATCACGAGTTTTCACGTTAGAGTCAAAAATTATGCAGGTCTTTCACCACTGCTCACAGTGATTACTATCATGAAGTCGATGAATGCTTCAAGGATCACAGAGTCAAGACTTCCAGACACTTTCTACATACTAAAAAAAAATAAAAAAAACAAATCCTAGTTGTTGGAAACCGGCATTTTCATGTGCTCTTTTACATACATTTGAATTTTGATTTGAACAGCATAACAGTACTCTAAAAAGAGTAGCTTGCAAGATTAAAAGATAAGAAATTATTTTTGTGATTTAATCCGGTAGCATTTACATTATAATAAAAGTAATATTATCGTTGGACTAACCCCCCTCCTGGCTCTATTTTACCTCCGTCAACATCGATTTCAACAAGAATCTCCTTCAAAATTTCAATGATGAATCTACTAACAATGCCGGCTGCTAAGGACAGCAAAGAATGTTACAGGATCATAAGTACAACCAAAAAACATAGATTATTCCAAGGCTAATAGGTCTTTACTAAACTACAAAACGCATCACCTTATATCGCCATGCCCACTAAGCATGTCAAAAAAAAAAAAACCCTCCCCCTCCCCCTCCCGCTCCCACCCCCACCTCCCTTTTCCTTATTCCTTCTTCGACGTCTAGCGTAGCTCCACCCCGACCTCCCTCGCTCACAGAATATGTCTGAGAACTACAGGCTCCCGTTCAATCTCCAGTGGGACGAAGCATCGCCAGAATGGCTAAACAAAGCAGACAATGCATGGGTAATGACAGCAGCAACCATGGTAGGTCTCCAAAGCGTTCCAGGGCTTGTGATTCTATATGGTAGCATGGTGAAGAAGAAATGGGCAGTGAACTCAGCGTTCATGGCTTTGTATGCCTTTGCCGCGGTCCTAGTCTGTTGGGTTCTTTGGGCACACCAAATGTCATTTGGGATCGAAATTGCTCCTATACTGGGAAAACCAAGTCAAGCTATGACAGAAAAGTATCTCCTGCACAAAAACCTAATGGGGATGATTCCCAGGGCAGACTATGTGTTTTACCAGTTTGCTTTTGCTGCTATCACTGTTATATTGCTTGCTGGTTCATTGCTTGGGAGGATGAACTTTTATGCTTGGATGTTTTTTGTTCCTTTGTGGCTCACCTTTTCCTATACAATTGGTGCTTACACAGTGTGGGGTGGTGGATTTCTTTACGGTCTCGTTATCGACTTCTCAGGTGGTTATGTCATTCATCTTTCTTCTGGGGTGGCTGGTTTCACTGCTGCGTATTGGGTAAACTACACATCCAAACTTAATATCTTCTTGTTAGTCTTGGATTTGACTACAGTACGGACCAAAAAAAATGGGTACTAACCGTACTATGCCTTCAAAATTTGTTACGTGTTTATTACCTTAAAAAAAAGTTATTTATAATTTTTGTGGGTGATTTTATAATTAAAAATTTTAATATTTTTGTGAATTATTTATAATTTTTATAAGTATTTTTACCACCGTTATGAATATTTTTATCACATTTGTGGTCATTTTTTTATCACTTTTCTTCCATACAACAAAAAATTATTTTTTTTGTGTGTTTTTATCATATTTGTAGATGTTTTACCACCGTTGTGGTACATATTTTTATTATTTTTTTAAATATTATAAAAGTGTTAAAAATACAATAAATATGACAAAAAAACACAAATATCGGAAATTGAGGCAGTCTTATATCACAAACCATGCAATCGATTGATTTGACAAAACAGTGAATCAAATGGGCCTCAAAAGTTAGAAAAATTATTCACGGCAACAATGATACTATGTTAATATTAATGACATAGTATTATTAATTAATAATATGTAAACAAATAAAAAAAAAGGCCCATAAAAGTTAATAACTACTTGTCTATATAATTTAATAACTACTGACTCTTCTTCCATATAAGTCAATAACTATCTAAATGAAATTTATTTTACCCATTTGAAATTTTGTTGTTATGGTATCACCATTACATGAAATATTATCTGTTTCTAGCAATAATTTTTGGTTTTGGAGTTATGAAAACCTACTATTAAAGATTTATTTTATTTTCACTTAAACAACCTAAAATATTTTCTAGAATAGAAATGAATTAATGATTGAATATTAAAATTCCTATATTTGAGATATTTTTGAAGATTTGCATCACAATTTTGGAATTTTTTGACCAATTTTTAAGAATATTTGGAATTCAATTACAAAATTTTCACCAATTTTTTCAAAAAATATATGAAAGATTTTATTTGTTATATTTGAATTTGTAGCGTATTAAAAAGTAATTACCATGAGCATGCGCCTTTTTTTCCCATTATCTATATCTATATCTATACTATTAATAAAAGTACTTTAATGTGAAAAACTTTTGATTCACTATTTTACCCTTGTAAAGAATTAAAAAGGCCACTCAATCCTTCCACACTTAATATCTAAATTGTCATAATATTATTATGCATTTAAATCTCCAAATTACATCTAAAATCATTTTTAATTATACATTCCTTATGTATAAATGTCAATTTTTATGAAACTTTTTGATTGATTATATTACTCTTAAAAAATAGATGCATCACTATAAGTTTTAACAAAATATTCAAAAAAACTTTTAAAAATTTCATCAATATAATATTATTTACCTCATTTATAAGAATAATATTATGACTACATATGCTTATTTTATTTTTCATCAAAATGTAGAACTCTTTATGTGTATTTTATTTTTCATCAAAAATGTTTAACCCTTTCATTTTTAAGATAAAAAATAATGTATATATAATTTTACATAATTTTTTAATCACAGTAAACTTTTCATATTGTGTTAAGATTTTATTTAAAAACTTGAATTATTTTTAAATTTTAATATACTTTATAAAATATATTATAGCATTGTATATTAAATTTTATCTCAATTTACCTAGATAGGTTCCAATATGATTGGTATAGTGATAATTATTTTTATTTATAAGTAGAATCTAAATCAAATTAATTTTTTAATTATCTATTATGTATTTATAAATGTCAATTTTTATGAAATATTTTGATTGATTATATTACTCTTAAAAAATATATGCATTATTATAAGTTTTAAAATATTCAAAAAAAAAACCTTCAAAAACTTCATCAATATAATATTACTCATCTCATTTATAAAGATAATATTATGACTACATATGTATATTTTATTTTTCATCAAAATATTTAAGCATTTTATTTTTAAGACATAAAATTATATAATTTTACATATTTTTTTAGTCACAGTAAACTTTTTTAAATGTGTTAAGATTTGATGTGAAAACTTAAATTTTTTTAAAAAAAATTAATCTGTTTTATAATATATATTATATTATAGTGTTATATATTAAATTTTATCTTAATTGACCTAACTAATCCTAAATACAATAAATTTCTAATATGATTGGTATATTAATAATTATTTTTATTTTATTCAATAATTTATAAGTGGAATCATAATCAAATCAATTTTAAAAAATTTAATTTTCAAACATCACTAAAAAATCACTTTTAATTACAAACTTATTGAAAAAAATAGAACTTCAATTATTTATTTTCTTTTTTTTTATCATTTTTCTTAAAGTTAGAATAACAAATCTTGAAAACATATAAAGTTTTCAAAAATTCTATAGTGGAGCATGAGCGATGAAAAAAAAATTTGGTAAATTTGATATGATATTTAATTCAAATACAAATATATTAAATATTTATTTATTATATTTTTTTAAAAACATTAGTCACATGGAACGCACGTGGTGCATTACTAGTAATGGTAAATGTACAATTGGTTTGATCCACCTTATTCTATGAGAGAATATTTAATACAACGATAATATTAAGTCAACAGGGTTCGTTTGGTTAGGAAAAAAAATGATGAAAAATGAAAATAATAGAAAGTGAATTGAACGAAAAAAAAAATAAAAAAAAATATATTTTTTTATGTATGTATTTGGTTAACATGAAAATTTTGTAAGAAATTTAAAAAAAAATTCATTCTATTGTTTGAAAGAAAAGATAGTTACAATAATTTTTTTTAATTGTCTAAATTACCCTTAAATATATTAAATCGATCAAAAGAAGTAAAAAATATGTATTATAATTACCAACACCAAGTTTTTTAGGCCAAATTATATAGTTAATCAAATTCACTAAGATTTTTTTAAATTAATAACCAATAAAATATTTTAAGAAAAATAAGGTAACATTGAAGTTAGTTAAATATTACAACTTTCTTGCATTTTCTTGTGTTTTTTACCAGAAAAAAAGTAGGAGAAAATTATTTTTTATATTATTTTTCATTTCATGCTAACTAAACATATGAAAATTTTAAAAATTTTCATTTTCTTGTATTTTTTATCATTATTCCGCTAATCAAACGGACCCTAATATAGTATCATCAAGTAATAATAAAACTCAAAAATGTGTAAAATAAACTCTTTTTGGGTATTTATTGGCTTACATGAAAAAAGTGTGAATATTTATTTCCTTGCATGTATCCGTAGTTATTAGTTTATGTGAGGTCCATTTCCTTATTTATCTACATATTATTAGTTGGTGATAATGCTGACAAATGGCGGCGCCACATGAGGACCAGAGAGAGCACAAGCCCACCCTAAATTATTTTTTAAATAATTTTAAATTTTTTGACACACTTTGAACACTTTATGTATACATCTAGATAAATTTTTCACATGTCAGACTATTTTTTAAAGTTATAGATATTATGAAAAATAGGTTAAATAATTTAATGAGTGATCAATGACTAATAGATTGATTAGTTATATAGAGAAAGATTATAGTATCTTTTATGATGTTAGTCTCATTTGTTGTAAAATGTTTTAATTAGTCTTTTTTTTTATTTGTATACGTTATATTTATCAACGTAAGTATGAAATACAATGCCATAAATTTAAATACATTATTTTATTTTTATTGATCAGTACAAAAAAAATTTAAAGTTTTTGAGTAAAATATTCACCCTAAATAGAATTTCTGGCTCTACCACTGAATGCTAACGAGATATCATCGTTATAATGAATATTTTTTCCTATTCTTGAAACAAACAACCCTAACCCACTCTCTTTCAAATAAAGATCAATAATTGAAAAAAAAAAAAAAAACTGCAACTCTTTAATAAAAACAAACAGGTCTTTGGTTTTTGAGAATAGGTTGAACTTGTGTTTGGACAGGTTGGGCCGAGGCATTCCCAGGACAGGCAGAATTTTCCACCAAACAACATAATTCACGTGTTGGGAGGTGCAGGGTTTCTATGGCTGGGATGGACTGGTTTCAATGGTGGATCTCCACTTTCAGCAGGCACCGTTGCACCGATTGCCATCCTCAACACCCACCTCTGCACTGCCACCAGCCTCCTGGTATGGCTTTTCCTGGACATAACCTTCTACAACAAAAGCTCTGTAATTGGGGCTGTACAGGGCATGATTACTGGCCTTGTTTGCATTACTCCCGGTGCTGGTAATTAGCCCTTTCTCCTAATCCACTCTACCTACCTTGTTTAATGGATATTACTTAAATCGTAGGCGGGGCAGAGTTAGGATTTTATCTAAATATTAGGTGCGAAAATTATATTAAATTAAATATATTGCATAAATCAACACATGGATATTGCACTTTTTGTAATTCAAAAATTCGTTAAAATCTAAAAATTTTGAGCAATTAGAATTAAAAACACTAACCTGTTAATTAATGGAGGAAAAATAGGGATTGCATTAATTTTGGTCTGATCTTGACCAAAAAGACAAATCACTTCTTGATAGGAGCAGTTCAATCGTGAAAAGAGATTGAATTTTTAAAAAATATGTTTTTGATGGAATTAGACTTTCAACTGAAAAATAAAAGTCTTTGAAAGGAATAATTCTTCTGTCAACTTAACTTTTCAATGGAATATAATTAAAAAAAAATTCAATTGCCAATCATAAAAGGATTCGACTGAATAGTTTGTTATTAAAAGGACCCACAAATAGTCCTTATATATATATACTAGTAAATACCCATGTCTGAAGGTACTTCGTTACTCGTAAAAAATTATAAATATTTTTTCATAAATAAAAGCAATGTATAATACAATTTCAATAATATAACAATCAAATTGATATTGTTCAACCTGTATGCAAAACATATATAATCAAATTTTTATATAACGAAAGTCATGCTACAACTATTACAACATATTAATTAAAAAAATTGAGAAAATATAATTATTATTGGTTAAATATCTATAATTTTAACATTTTAAATAAACTTTATCTTAAATTTTTTAAAAAAATATAACTATTTGTTTATCTGCATGTTTCTACCTAAAGTTCATAACATTATCTCTGCACCATTTTTCTAAAGTAAGTGTGTGTAACTTTTGTGAGAAAAACATCTAAAAGTTTCATATGAATTTTTGTAGATGTAAAAAATTATGTTGAGTAATTAAAATCAGTTTTCATTTGAGTTCAACTTAAATATTCATAAAATTTAATCGAATTTAAGTTTGGGTGGGGCTATTCCCACCCAATTTAATTTCTCATTATCAAAATATTAAGTTCACTCCTTCTATATTCAACCCATTAGTAACTTAGTTCACTCCATACTACATACATCCCGTTTAATAAGTAAACTCACTTTATATTTTGTTATAATTAGGATTTCATTATCTATTACATCTGATGCACTCACAAAAATATTTTTTAATATGAATTTTTCCAGTGAGATACATGTTAGTATTACTTTTCAATTTAAATAAATATTTGATTTTATATTTGTTGTATGAATTTTTATTATTTTTGGTATGTTTTTTATATCTCTGTCAAATTTAATGATTTTTTATTTTGAATTTATGTGTGTGTGTGTGTGTGTGTGTATATATGATTTTTAGATTATTTGTTATTTTTTTAATCTTGTTTAGGTTTTTTATCTATGCTTCTTATTTTTTTTCTTGTTCGATTTTGCATTTGTACTTGACACTTTTTTTTTCATGTCCGGTTTTGCATCTTGTGATTTCACGTTTTATAGTTTTACTTGTTTCTTTAATTTTTGCTTGGGTTTTTTATTTCTTCTTATTTCGGCTTACTTCTTTCTTTCTTTCTTTCTTTCTTTCCTTATTTTGTTCTTTTCTTTTTAAAAATGATGTATGTAGCATGGGGTGGATATAAAAAGGGTAGACTTAATAGTTTAATAATGATAAATTAAATAGGGTGGGAATAACTCCACCCTTTAAGTTTTAGCAAGAATTTATCATTTATACACAACAGTCAAATTCAATTTAATTTGAGTCTTAATTATAACTACGTCAAACCGAGAATTGAATTTAAGTTCGATTCAATTAACATTTCTATCTTAAACCTACAAACTAATTCTTATCTATTCTGTTCACTGTGATGTCATAACTTTTTTTTTTAATTTAGTTATTCTTTATTATTTTTACAATCAATTTCACTTTGATTGTAAAAATAATCATAATCACTTCGAATACTAATCATAATCACTTTGAATCGATAATTGAGTATATAGATATATCACATTACACAATTTGAATATTATAGTATTTTTCTTTTAATACAAAATATGACATATATTATAGTCATTTGACTTATTTTGACGTAAATAATATTTATTTAAGGTCCTTTTGTTTATTTAATTTTTTTTAAAATAATCTTTACTTAGAATCATAATTAACTACCTAATTAATGTATAGTATGAACTAGAAATAGATAGAAAGTTATAAGAGAGATAGAAGTCTTAGAATTGTGGAATGAATGAAAATCTTACTCAAAATATTGGGGGGAGACAACTTTTTGTATTAGGACCGTCGGATCAATATTTCTTCAAGTAATCTGAGCCACGAAAAACTAAAGAGAAAAGAATCTAGTTACTTTATTACGTAGATATATAAAGAAGATTTCTATTCGCGACTAATCGAAAAAAGATTTCTATTGAGGGGTCATTTCTATACTAGCAGACTTCTAGGAAGACAAAAATACTATCACTCTTGCGGTTCTAAAAATTCTAATGGGGCCGGTGGCCCCCTTAGGCCATGGTGAAGCTCCGCCACCCACTGATCGAAGGTACTTATGCTATACAATCCCTTCTCAGGTATGCAGTACAAAGGGTGAACTTAATTTGTATGCTATTTTAGGTCTCGATTTTGTTTTAAAACTCTTATCCAAATCAATTTCTTTCTTATAAGAAATTGCATTTAGTTATGCATCCATCCATGCACACAATCAATGAATACTTATTTTCTATTTGTGATTTTTTTATTATTATCCAGTATTATATATAATTATTCATATATATGTATAATGTAACAGTGACACACAAAATTTTTTCAACGCAAGTAATCTCCACCCGGGGCCCAGATATTGGATAATCTGGAATTAACCTAAGAATTCTTTCTATTCCACACCAAAAACAACTTTCTTTTAATGTCCTCTTTTTTTTTCTTTTTTTGGTATTGGCAGGGGTTGTGCAGCCATGGGCTGCAATGCTAATGGGAGTATTGTCTGGCTCAATTCCATGGTACACCATGATGGTATTGCACAAGAAATCGGCATTCTTTCAACAAGTGGACGACACACTTGGTGTCCTCCACACCCATGCCGTGGCCGGACTTCTCGGGGGACTCCTCTCCGGCCTCTTTGCCCAACCCACGCTTCTGAAGATGTTCTACAACACATCCCATCACAGTCCAGGCTTATTGTACAGCATATTAGATGGAAATATCATTCCTGGCCTCCGCCAAATTGGTTACCAGATCCTAGGAGCAGTTTTTATTACTGTGTGGAATGTCTTGGCGACGAGTTTTATATGCATTTTGATTAGCCGCATTGTTAACCTCAGGATGGATGAGGACGATCTTGAGATAGGCGACGATGCAGTCCACGGAGAGGAAGCGTATGCGTTATGGGGAGACGGAGAGAGGCATCCCCCTCTTCGTTTGCACATGGCTCCGAAAATTCCTTCATTCTGCAGACGCATTGGAACCAAGACTTAACAACAATGGTTACAACTCTTAATTGATGTTTTCACTTGCTGTAAATACTACATCAACGTCAAGCCCTCTTGCTCTCTAATCCTAGTGCCATTTGCTTACCTGCAAATGGTCATTGGAGGAGTGGCAAAATGGCAATCACAGATCAATAATATGTGTGAAGAGGTTGATGAGTATTTAAAGGATCACAGAGGCAAGATTTATTGACACTGTTTGTATGTACTACAAAAAAAATAAAAATAAAATACCAATCCTATTTGTTGGAAACCATTGTTTTCATCTAATCTTTTACTTACACTTGGGATAGACGATTTGAATTTTGATTTGGAAAGCATAGCGGTGCTATAGAAAGAGTAACGTGTGAGGTTAAGAGAGGATTAAATTTACACATCATTATTCATAGATTCGGAGATATTATTTTCGTAATTCATTCTTATGACATTTTGATCATAATAAAGTAATATTATCATTGGACTAAAAATCCATCCTTGAGTATGTTTTACCTCCATAAACAACGATTTTAATGAAAATTCCCTTCAAAATTCAATGCAAGGTTTGAATGGTATAGCCATTGAAGTCGCCGTGTTTTAGGCTCCCAAATTTTAGAGCCTTAGTTTGAGGATAGTCAATTAAGTATAATGTTATTTTTAGTACCCCAAATTACATTTTTGGACAAAAGTTTCATTAAGTCTAATTTTATTCTTTAAGTCCCGATTTGTTTTTAAAAAACTAATAGTCAAGTAAGTCTACTTTTATTTTTAGGGCTCCCAAAAAAAAATTTGAGACTCAATTCAATTTAGCCCAATTGTTTTTTAAAGTTTCAAATAAAATCTGTATACTTGTATTCAATCACACTCAATTTGATTTTTAGGGCCTCTAAAAATTGGTAGCCAAAAATCTTAAACTCAAGTTCACTTAAGTTTAATTTTATTTTTAACACGTTTATACGATACTAATTTCTATTGTTATAATGCTATTTAGTGATGTAATATCTATATAATAAATCATCTAGCAAAGTTGAAATATCTATGTTCTAGTTATTGCATGTGTTTGAAAGCACATAGTAATAAAGAAATGCTCAACAATAAATATATTTGTACACACATCCAAAATTAAATAAAAAACATAAAAAAGGAAAAAATGAATTTAAGCACATGTTGTAATAGGGATGAATAGTGATAGTGATGGTGGTAGGAGATGATAACGACCGTAGTGGATAGCAACGACTGCGGTGATGTGACAGTTATGGGTGGCAATAGTGATGGTGGTAGTGAGTTTTGGATGACAATAATGGTAATGGCAATCATGGGTGACAACGGTGGTAGTAGTGGTGGGTTGTGGCGATGGGTGGTGACAATGATGGTTGTGGGCAACGACATGTACTTCTAGGCGATAGTGTGATGGGTGATGACAAACAGCAGTGGTGGTGTTGGAGGTAGATATGTTAAGGGTGGGTGGCAATGGTTGATGACGATGGTTGGTGACAACGGGTGATGGTGGGTTGTGATAATGGGTGATGGTGGGTTGTGATAATGGGTGGTGGTGGGTGGTGATGAGTTATGATAGTGGGTGGCGGCGAGTGGTAGTGGACAACAATGGTGATGGTGGGTACTGACGAAACAACGGTGGTAGTGATAATAAATATAAGAATGAGATAATGATGGTAGTGAATGACAGTGGTGAACAATGGTAATAAGAATCGGTGGTAAGGTAGTGGCGACGGCATGGTGGCAGTGGGGTGAGGTGGGGGTGGTGGTTGTGATAGTGATGGTGGGGTGGCGATGATGATGGTGGGGCAGTGGGACAGTGACAATGGTGATAGGGCGGCGACAGTAGTGGTGTTGAGGATGGTGATGGTGGTGGTAACGGTGATAGTGGGGGTGAGAGTGGTTATAGTGGGGGCGGCGGCCGCGACAGGGGTGGCGATGGTGACGATTGTGGTGGGGGTGGGATAGTGGGGGTAGTTGCGGTGGTGATAATGGTGGTCGGTGAGAGTGGTGGTGATAGGGCGGTTCCAAATATTACTTCTTTTTTTTTTAAAGTACTTATTAGGAATTATAAATTCTAAAAACACTTTTAAAAAGTAATCTCAAATACATCCTTAGGAGCTTATTTTCTCTATTAAGTTTGAGGTGTTAATATTAATTGTCGAATTAATTTTAAAGTAAAATTTAAAAAGATCTCAACCGCAAAAAGTAAAATTCATTTTGTTTATCTATATATAATGTACTTTATTATATAGATGTACATAGTTTAGGTCTTTGCCTGGAAATTTAGATTTGAAAAAAAAATTACTAATGATATTGTGACATAATTGAAGGACATAATTTGGGGACATAATGAGTTGTCGCCAATGAAATAATAGTGAAATGTATTTAATGATGGATCTCATTATAACATTAAATGAATTCATTATCATACATTCCTCATCTGAAACCATAGTTATTAAACTTGGTCTGGACATTAACTTGGCAAAGAAATCGGATCAATGAGTTACTAGTTCTGCCACTAAGTTAATTGGTTGAACTGACCATACAATAAAAATAAAAATTATATATTAATAATTGTAATTACACTAAAAATTCTATCAAAAGAATCAAAAACCAAGAAACAATAAAAATTAAAGATTAAGAAATACTGAAGAGTAAACATTTTAAATATTTATTGTCTATTATTCATAGAGAGAGTAAAATTGGTGACAATGTTAGCAATAAAATTGAAGCATGATGAAATAAATGGAAGAATGCATTTGATGTATTGTGTAATAGATGCATATCTCTTACGTTAGAAGCAAATTTTTATAAAGAAGAACCATAAAATCCACTATAACACGATCAAAAATTAAGTCCGACAAAAATGAAAATATTAATATAGATATGTGATAGAATTACAAATGAATTAGGAATGAATATATTCGTAAAAAAAATAGAGGTAGCATATATAAGAGATAAATTAAAGGAGAATTGACTTAGGTGATTTGAACTTATTCATACACAGCTTACTCTAGTACCGGTGATAAAGAGTGATAAAGCTATTGATAGTCATCATTGGGGTAGAAGAATACCAAAATTAATTTTAAATGAAATAGTAAAGGACAATATGATAACTTATAGTTTAACAGTAAATATGACCCTTAAGCCTTAATAGAGCACAATGATAAAATAAGATTCATATAGCCGACACAAAAAATATTGAGATAATACTTTTGTTGAGTTGAGTTGGGAGTAGAGATTAAAGTAAGAATCCGATGGAAAAATCAATGATATTGAAAAAAATTTCAGAATCATAGCAAAACTTACTATTTTTAATGGTAAGGTTACATCTTTAAAAAGTAAAGTTACAATGGTCGAGAGAAGTTCATGATCAATTATGAATATTATGATCAATCATAATGTTTCCTTAAATAGTTATAATTTCTCTTTTATGAGTTGTAGTTTAACTATTAAAAATTGTAACTTAACTTTTAATCAATCATTGTCACCACCCAAAAAAAAATGGTATTATATCACCATATATAATTTTTTAGAGGTTTTGTATAATTATTTATAGTATCACTCATAATTTTTTGAGATTATACGTTTGATCCTACCAAAAGTGATATTTCAATCAATGATTAATAATCATTCAAATTAAAATTAATGAACAATATTAGATTTGAGCATAGTACCTCTACGAAACCGTACCGTTAGCCCTTAGTTAGAGAGGGAGGTTCACAATTCTTCATGTAAAAGTACTTCGAAAATATGCGTTCACCAAACGTCTTATATTTGATAAATGTTCTTCTTGTAAAGTGCATCTCAAAAAAATTATTTAAACGATGGATTTATATTTGAAAAAATTATGCCAAAACATTAATATCTGATGATGAACAAAAGTAGATTTATGTAAGATTAAATCAATCGAGTGTGTAGTATAATGTAATTAACGAAACAATCAATAATAAAAGACAAAGATTGGGTAGTTGAGTCTGAGTGACCTAATCACTGAAAACAATAATGGTGGCCGAAAAACTCTATTAATAAGAGAGTACAAGATATTAAGAGAGAAAGAGAGCAAGAGTACACTCAAGGTGAGGTGTATGAGATTTGCCCCCATGTGTAAGGGGTTTACAATATATAGGTACCGAGTCCTAACTAAGGCGGTGACGTGAAGGTCAATCTACTAATTTATCGAGGAGGATAGCTACAATTGGGTATAGACACTATTTTGGAGTAATAGTCATTCCGCTGATTACTCTTCCACGTATGTTGACTCTTCATGAACTCTTGAACTTTAAATTAGACTGAAACGATGAACTACGTCTGATCTGCTTTTTAATGATTTGAATTTAACCTAGCCTAGGCTTAGGCTTGATATGAATATAAGCTTGTCAATATTGATCATATCTTTTATAAGTGAGTAATGCTAAACAGATTTAAGATATAGACTTGATCATGTGGTTGTTAATGTATACCAACTATGTCATCAGCTTCTTTCCAAAAAAAAAAGATTTTAATGAAATATGAAAGATCAGATTTATCGTTCCCACCCAACCCTTCCATCTTCCCTCTTCCCTCGCCTTCTCCCTTCCCTGTCACTAAACCGAACACAGTCGGCCCAACAGCCGGCCATTGCAACACGGCTCCACCTCAGGTTCTCTTGATGTTGTTCATTGTGGTGGTGTCTCCACTTGGGAGCCTCTCTTGCCCAACAACGACTCTTCCCACTTCCCTCTTCCCTCCCAGTCGCCTTCTCCCTTCCCTTCCCTTCCCTCTTCATCTCCCTCGACTCCTACCCCCTTTCTGTTTAAAAACAAATTGAACCCAAAAAATTAGGTTTTCTCCACAGGCGAAGCCAAAGACGGAGTCACAGTAATAGTTGCCGGAGCTCATACATTTTTATGTCTCTCCATCTCTTTTTTTTTCTTCGTTGCTTTAATATTACAGCATACCCATTCCACTCGAGTAAGGAGGGGAAGGCTAGAATTGATTGCGTTCACAAATTGTTCAATGAATTGTCTAATAGAAGGCACTTTGTTTGGGACATTTATGCTTCGTCAACGGGACACCACGGTGAAGTTGATTTGTTATGCAGAATTTAGTTGCTACCTTATTCCTGCCTTAGAAGAAGTGATTTGTGAAAATTGTACACTTTGTTTGTGTACTCATTCAACTTGGGAGACAATAGTATTGTTGCTTAAGTATAAGTTTATGTATTTTGTTTGTAAAATTATTCAATTTGGTAGTGGAAGTGTAATGAAAAAAAGTATACTACTTTTGCCTTTTTGATGCTAAATTGGCCATGATTATGGAACTTTAAATTTTGGTTCAGAGTGGTGCCATACTTAAGGGTCATGACCATGTTCCAAAAAAAAATTGTACACTATGTTGTCCCCATTTTTTTTCCCAAACAAAACAAAGGAATAATTTCTCAGTTGGATGGTTTGACATTTGTGGAGCCTTGTGTTGGATTGCAACAAACTTTAAAAATGCTAGATTCTGCTACATGGTTGCATATTATATTTGGGTAAAAAAGGGGTAACTCAAGCCATGTTTCTATGAATACTGCCATCCACTTTGACCGAAGTCAAATCACAGTACATCTTCCCTATCAATTTGCTTTGGAACTCCTTAAATTTTGAGATGGTGTAAACCTTTTGAACTTGTTTCTCCATGTCATAATGGGTTACACAAGGGACTTGTGAAGAGAAAGACTTAGATTCTTCCTCGTTTTCCTTCTCCATCTTACTTTTCAAAGTATTTTCATATTGTTTGACAAATTACTTTAAGGTAGTCTTAGAGTTGATATACCCATCAAAGAATGAATTCATAATCTCACTTCATTGTGTGGTAAACATTCCCGCCCAAAAAGAATCTTTCACAAAGATCGGCACCCATTGACGTCTCTCACTGTACAGTTCACTCAACCAATCATTGTTATATAGCATATACTTCTTAATCATTCCATTCCAACTTTCCTCAAATTTAGTACAACTTAATGAATCATAAACGGCTCTTTGCAAGAAAAATTTGATGAATTCATATTGCTTATAACCTCTCAATTTTTCAGGTAATTTGTTCATGATGTGCCATTGGCACCATCGATGCCTAGTATTAGGGAAAACATTCTCAACTACTTTCTTCGTGGCCTTGTTCTCATCAATTATTATGGAACATGGAGTTTCCCAGACATACATGCAAGCCAAGATTGAAATAACCAACAAAAGGTTTCTGTATCTTTACTGGAGATCAAACCACATCCAAGCAAAGTTGACTGCCCATGATGATTAACATCTACTAATGGAGCAAATGACATGTCATATTTATTTGTCAAATATGTTGTATCAAACGTGATAACATCACCAAATTTCCCATATGCAGCCCCACTCCTTGCATCAGCCAAAAACACATTCCTTAACCGATCCTCATTATCCAAATCCATTGTATAAAAGAAGTTTGCATTTTCACCTTGCATCTTTAAGAAGTAATTATGTATCACAGAAACATCTCCTTCCCCAAGTCGTAAACGCCTTATTTTGTCAATGTAGTTTCTACAATCCTTCTCTAAAAAAGAGATATTCTCATGCCCTCTACTTCAATCACAAATGAATTAAAATTTTCTATCGTTCAATTCAAGCTTTCTTTTTACATTTGGTCTCATCAGTCGATTGCAACAAAAGAATCGAGTTTTGTTTGGACTCATCTCATGGTTATGATCAAGTATGACATTGTTCAGTCGTCACTTTCTATCAGCACAAAAAATTGCTAAGATCTTAACCTTACAACCTGTTTTGATGCTTGGACGTGGTTTGAAAGGATTTTTGGAATTGCACTCTGACTTTCCTGATCGAGAACAACAAATCGTCAAATATTTCAACTCACTATTATCTCTTTTTACTGATGATCTTATCTTAATTGGGAACCCCAATCGCTTGCCATAATTGTGTAGTAGTCAAACAACTCTTTTTCACTTTCAAACATCATCTTAACCTTAGGCTCATCTACGTTGACCGCATTCTGTATTTTAGTCTCAACATTTTTATCAATAATTTACAAACTAATTGAACATTCTCCTTCCATTCTAAAAAAAATTAACCCCACCAAGTACCTCTTTGATTAATCACAGATTTCTTAAACACAATATATGCCTGAACATCACAAAAAAAATAATATGTTTATGTTCCAAAATCACTAACAAAATAAATGGGTAGAATATTAAAAAAGTAAAAAGATGTAATAAACTTACGAGAAAATCAACTCTTTAAATGATTTTCAAAGGAAACCAAGTCATTCGATTGTTTCACCCCTATGGTATTTCAAAAAGTCCAGATGAATAAAATCAAGATCAATTAAAATAAAAGGCTCAAACTTTCTCCATTGCACATAGACTATAAATCATTTCAACCAAATTGAATGAATCAAAAAAATAAACACTCACAAAACCGTTAGAGCTTCGGCTTCGAATAAAAATGCTTGAACCAATAGAGAGTTCCATAAATGGTGGCTTTTCACATTTATAGAGCTGTGCAAATTGTAGTGAAGAAGATATCTGTTCTACCTCGCCACACCAAGGTGGTTGTCACCAGGAATAACAGAACGAAATTTGTACTTGTTGGCCTCCGAGGCGTTGTCAAGAAGGCTGTTGGGCTTGGAGAATGGCCGGCTGTGTTGGGTATAGTGACAGGGAAGGGAGATGGCCGGCTGTGTTGGGTATAGTGACAGGGAAGGGAGAAGGTGAGAGAAGAGGGAAGAGGAAAAACGGAAGGGTTGAGTGGGAACATTAATCAGATCTTTTATATTTCATTAAAATTTGATTTTTTTTTTTTTTAAGAAAAAAAAATTAATGATATAACCGATACACATCAATAACCACGTCATCAAACCTATATTTTAAGTAGACATTACTTTTCGTACAACAACAGTAGCGTAGTCTTTTGCGCATCCGATTGCCACTTGGGAACCTGCATGCCACCAACACTAAACATGGACTGATGG